AAAACTTATCAGAAACTCCCAAAGCACTCGAGCACATCAGAGTAAGAAACTTCCATTCCAAGATTCTCTAGATCCTTAGTTTTCTAATGCAGGAAGAGAACCTTGCAATCAGGAAGGGGAAAGATCCAAGCGAAGGCCTTTCTTGGAATGATTACATGTCTTTAGAGTTCACCCAAGCTGTAAGTTTTCTCTTTAAATTATGTATTAATACAGAATTAACTGCAAGCTCAGGTTTTTAACGAGACACTTCGCCTTGCCAATGGAGCTCAAGGAGTAATGAGGAAAGCCCTCAAAGACGTGGAATACAGAGGTAATTCACATATATTTAAGAATCGACCAGTCTAACACTCCATCGAAATTCTTTCAAGGTTACATAATTCCGAAGGGCTGGACAGTGCTTCCTTATTTTCTCAACATCCATTTCGATGAAAATATGTTTCCAAATTCAGCCAAGTTCCACCCATGGCGCTGGCTAGAGGTAAAGATTATGATTTCTCACTAACTATGTTTTAATCTGCTACTTATCAGAAAAACATTCCGCCAAGTTACGTGCTTCCTTTTGGTGGTGGATCTAGATTGTGTCCAGGCCAAGAGCTTGCTAAAGTCCAAACTGCAGTGTTTCTTCACCATTTGGTCACCCAGTTCAAGTATAATATATATTTTCTAGTTAAACATTCTATTAACAGCATAATGTATTTAACAGATGGGATGCAGAGCCAGAAAAGGTGATCAACTTTCCGATGATCAGCACCAGAAACCATGTCCCAGTTGTGCTGTATGATCTAAACTAATCAGCCATTAGGCCATATAAATGTATGAATATTGGTTTGTTTTTGTTTCTTATGAATTTTTTTAAAGAATAAAGCACTAATAAATAATAAATAATATATTCATTAACTGAGTGCATTGTATTCAATTATCCAATTAAATATATCAATTAAATTAAACTAGTAAATATTTATCTCTAAAATTCTAATTTTCAAATATATATGGTGATAATATATGAAAATGTCATCTTAATTATAAAAATTTAGTAATATAAAAAAATTAGATATGTACTATACGAAATTACATTTTTTATGCAAGTGTTTATTTGGCACCCATCAAATATTGTTGTTAAGTTTAATTCAAGAAATGTTTTAAATATTTTGCAATTTATATTTATCAATAGATACACGGTATAGTTTAGTAATAATGAATTGGGTTACACTAGTTTTTCTTTTTTTAAGAATAATCTACATAATATTTACATATTTTATCATATTTTTAATTTATTTTTTCTAAATATGATTAAAACACCTATCTTGATTAAGAATGAAGTTTTAAAATTAAGAATATATATTCACTTGATTGTTCAACTTTTTGTTAATTGTAATTACTTCTTGGACTAACTTAGAATCAATTTTGCTTAAAGCTTACATTTAAATTAGGCTATTTAAATTCTAACTATATATATGACAGTATTATGTGTAAACTTGTGGCAATGAATGCATAGAGCTTATGTGTCCCAACTTGGTACAATAGGTCTATGTGCTCAAGGTGATCCACTATATTCAACAACAGCTACTAAGTTGATTTGCATTATGGATCTGAAAGTTATTAACTATGGGGCTGATTCATTAATAGATAAAATTTGTCAGGAGTTTCCTTGTGGCCAATGTAAGAAGTACTCGATGGATGATCCCTTAGCAAGGGACTTTGGCAATGGTCTTGATGTTGCAGAAAATAAATTTAGTGAAGGTATAATATGTAGGCAGGTTTCTATGGTGCATGTGTCAATGAGGATTCAAAGCAATTGCTGAAAAACTGTTGCTTATCCTATTCTTCCTGGTGGAATATACAAGTATATTCTAGGTAGATTTGGCTTTGTCAACTTTGACGTTCTGTACTAGTCGTGTTTTTAATTTCCCACGCTTACGTGCCGTGAACAGACAAGCCTTGAGTGTACATATACAAGAAGACGTTCAGTTCATGTATAGCAGTATCTCTTTGCAAGATCTTGTGCATTGTTCTCTTCTCAATTCTTCTCACCTCCTTGCATATGGAAGCAATCCATGCTACAACTTGCCTGATCGCGTAGCAAAGCTCTGTGCAATACTTCACAGCAGCTCAATTTGAGGTCGCAGCTGCAGATATTTGTAACCGGGGGCGAAGCGATGTTACAAGAGATTATGGTGAGGCCCCTGCTTCAAGTCCTTCCAGGCCGGGTCCCCTCAGAAGAAAAATTCAAGCGCATTACCATGGTACCAACAGACGATACTGCTGGGTATGATAGTTTTTACGTTGAAATTTTCTTAATTATGTGTTTTGTAGGATGCTTTCCACAACATTATCAGCCAATGCTTCCAGAACGAGAGGCGGAGTGGTGGTTCTTGGGACTGGGTTTCGGGAAATGTGGAGGAACATTACTACATAAGAGCTTATCTCGATTGAGTAGCAACTTATATTGTTTTCACGAGTTTAATAAAAGCAAGAATTATGACGATTTGAGACGGAAGTAGCGCCGCGCTTAGAATCCAGCGTCCACCGCTGCGATCAGGGCAGTGATTCGAGGAGGCGATGGAAGAAGTTCCAAAACCTATTCTTCCTTGATCGATCCTTTTATGCGAGGAAGCCCGCGATCGAGGCCTCATCGCTGCTGCGTCAATTGGATCGCCCAGTCCCGGCGCTGGATCGCGGATGAAGCGCCCCGCTGCTTGGATTCCAGCGCCCACTGCATCGCCGTGATCAAGGACTGCCGGGACGCGCGCGCATTGGGCGATGGGCGGCGAATTCACGACGCAATCACGAAGAATGGCCTCGATCGCGACGCGCTGGTGGGGAATTTTCTCATCCAGATGTATGGGAGATGTGGCGCCGCCCAGGATGCTAGATCCGCGTTTGATCGCATCGCCCAGCCGACATCTTACTCGTGGAATTTGCTCCTCGCGGCATTTGCCCACAACGGGCATTTGCTGGAAGCTCAAACCATCTATAGGGCGATGCCATGGCCGGATACTGTGTCCGCGAATATCATGATCGCAGCCTATGGACAAAACGCTCGGCTCGATCTAGCGCTTGATCTGTTCTGGAAGAATCGAGACAGGGATCTTGTCTCTTGGAATTCGATGCTCGCGGCATTTGCCAAGAACGATCGCGGAGAAGAAGCGCTAGAGCTCTTCCGGGCTATGGATCTCGAGGGCTTCCAGCCCAACAAGGTGAGCTTCGTGAGCCTTCTCCACGCGTGTTCTTCGATTAGATCCTTGAGCTTGGCGACTATCCGGATGATCCAGTGCCTGATGGCGCCGTATGGCTATGAAATCGATGTGATCCCCGCCACCGCGCTGCTAAATCTTTTTGGGCGATGCGGCGCCACCGCCGAGGCCAAGAGGATCTTCGATCGAATTCCATCGCCCAATGCGGTCTCGTGGACGACGATGCTGGTGCTGTTCTTGCGGAGTGGCGATCTCGCCAGCGCGATGGAGCTCTTCGATCGCATGCCCTGGAGAAGCGTCGTCTCCTGGAACGCGATGATCTCGGCGATGGCGGGCAGGGATCTGGCAGAGCCCAAGAAATTCTTCGATGCGATGCCCGCCTACGATAGCGTGTCTGTGAATTCGATGCTCGCGGCCTACTCCCACCATCCCGGAGAGATCGATCGAATGCGAGAGCTCTTCGACCGAATGTCGTGGCACAGGAACACGATCTCCTGGAACACGATGATCGCCGGCTACGCGCAAGCCGGGAACCTCCACGAATCGCTCGTGCTCTTCAAGACAATGCTGCTCCATGGCGAGACGGTGAATCAAATCACCTTGGTGGCCATCATCGACGCCTGCGCCGCCGCGCCTGATCTCCACGAAGGCCGGAAGCTCCACGCCCTGGCCGCCGCGGAGCTAGGGTTCTTCACCGCCATAGCCAATGTTCTCATCAAGCTCTACACCAATTGCGAGAGACTGGAATATGCCAGGAACATTTTCGAATCCCTGGCGCGCCCTGACGTGGTGTCCGTGACGGCCATGATCACCGCATACGGACGGATGGGATGTGCCCACGAGGCCAAGCGGATATTCGATGCCACGCTGGAGCACGACGTGATTACGTGGACCGCCATCGTTGGCGCACTTGCCCAGAATGGGCATCTTGACCAAGCCGAGAACCTGTACGGCAGGATGCCCTTATGGGACCAAATGGCCAGCAACACTATGGTAGTAGCGTACGGGCAAAGCGGCCATTTAGATCAAGCTAAACAGCTCTTTGTAAAAATGCCCAAGAGAAACGCAGTAAGCTGCAACGCTCTAATCTCTGCATTTACCGCTAATGGGCATCCGGAAGACGCTCTAAAGATGCTCCCTTTGATGGATCTCGAGGGCCAGGAACCCAACAAGATCACATTCCTCGCAATTATCGATGCCGCGGCCGTCAACGGTGCTGTCGCCGAGGCTCTGCTGGTCCACACGGCGGTCAACGAGTCCGGGCTCCTCCAGGAGCACACGGAGCTGGGGACGTCGCTGGTCAACATGTACGGCCGATGCGGCAGCGTTTTGACCGCCCACCGGGCATTCAACGCCATCTTGACCAAGTCGTATATCTCCTGGAACGCTGTGGTCACGGCATATGCCCAGAATGGGCATGCTGAGGTGGCGGGCGATCTCACCAGAGCCATGGAACTCCACGGCTACGTCTCAAACGAGGTTACTTTCCTCTCGAATCTGTTCGCGTGTAGCCACGCGGGGATGATCCAAGAAGCTTGGAACCTCTTCGTGTCGATGCAAAGTGACTATGGGATCACACCCCAGATGGATCACTACTGCTGCGTGGTTGATTTGCTTGGGCGATCCGGGACGATGGAGGAGGCGGGCGATTTGATCGGTAGCATGCCGATCGAGCCCAGCGTTGTGGGGTGGAAGACGCTGCTGGGAGCAAGCAGAGTTCACAGCGATGTCGGGCAAGGATTGGTGGCGAGTTGCAAGTGTGTTGATGAGAGTGATTCTTCGGTGTTTGCGTTGATGTCCAATGTGTATACAAACTGATTCCTTTCGAAACATCTATAGAAAATGAGAGATCAAAGGTCTGATTGAATGGAGCACGTACGATCACAGTTGTGATTATTTGTTGCACAGAAAGTGTCAAGCGTACTCCATCTTCTTTTCTTCCTCCTGCGAGATGCGCACCAGCGTGTAAGAAATCAACCTTCAACGAAAGTATTCGAAGAATCACAATGAAAGCTAGCTCAGAAAATCCAAAGCTTTTAGAAGAAACTCAAGACTCACCAAAAAAAGAAAGGAAAACCAATCCAAACCATCCCAACCATCAAAGTGAAGGAGAAAAGAATTCCAAAGCTCTAGAACAAAGAATGTTGATACAAAGACCACAAGAACAACAAAGGTGAAAATCTCAAACAATTCCACCTTAAAAAGAATCACAGTGAAAGGTAAGCTCAGAAAATCACGAACCAAAACAAGAAACGTAAGACTCGCAAAAAGAAGAAGAAGAAGAAGAAAAAAATCCATTCCAACCACGAAAACGAATGACAAAAATCCAAAGCTCTAGAACAAAGAAGAAGAAACCAAAACGCAAGAACAAAAAATTCCAAAGCTTTAGAACAAAGAATGTTGCTATGGAAGAACACAAGGAAGAACAAACAAAGAAGAAATAGCATACCTTCTCTTTCCATCCCTTTGGGAGTGTTGGACCAGTGGCTTTGAAATTCGATCTTCGGCCCCATCCAGCATTCTTGGCAGCATCGAGGTACGCCACGGCCCATTTCCTGCAGTTCTTGAGGTGATTGACGCCTTCGCGCTGGTAGCACGCCCTCAACCTCTCCCGCAAAATCTTTGCCCGCTCAACCCCAATCCACTTCTCCCTTACAATCCAGTCGCGCATCTCGATGAATGCGATTGGATCGCCGTGTGGATCTGCCGGATCGAAGTTCTCCGGCGGATCCAAGTCGAATTCCACCTCGCCCTTGAAAACCATGGCGCTGCCTACAATCCCGACGAAGAACCCTAAAATTTCCAGAGCTTCAAAATATTTTTAGGGTTTTAGCGCGAGGCCTCGATGGCGCTCCGCCAGGCAATGCGGCTTCTGGTCCGGCGCTGCGATCGCTCGCCATTGCTCCCAGCTCGCTCCATTGCTGCGCATTTCGCTACTGCTACGGGTAAGCTGTTTATACCGCGATCGCGAGGCAATGCTCGTGTTTTCTTCTCGTCGATCGCAGGAGGCACGCGATCTAAGCCTAAAGAAGACGCTGCTCCCTTGACTCGTGAGGAGAGGAAGAAGAAATACGCGAAATTCGAAGGTTTTGTGAATACTTTTCATTTTTCTTTTGTTCTTACGAGATGTTTTTCTCTGTTTCCCGAGTGACTAACTATGATTTTGCAGAGAAGGATTTGATTATCCCGGATCCAAATCCTGCTACCGAGGCCGTGCAAGAAATGTATGACAAGATGATGCTCCAGATGTCGAAAGGAGACACTTTCTCAAAGGCTGATCTTTTCGAGCTCTTCCATGCGTGTAAAACTCGAGCCGATATCAATCTCTGCCTCAAGCTCTTGGAGCGGCTTCACAAGTTTGTAAGTTCCTCGCATTTCAGCTGAAGTGTTCTTCTCTTTTATCATTTCTCTGACGGTTATTGACAATTCTGTAGTACAGAGGGCCGCGCAGCTCAAAGTTTTCCGAAACTTCAACGCAGATATATCAGAGCTTGTAGCGAAAGCATTCACCCAAATAAACGAGCCAAAGTACGGTGAGTGCGAAATATATTCTGATGTGGAGTGTATCTGACATCGTTTTTTTGCTCTATTAGCGTTACGAGTTTTCACTAGGTACAATCGATTCGGGCTGACTCCCGACATTAAGGCGTCTCACAAGTTGCTGGTATCTAGCATGTTTTTTGTTTGATACGTGGTTAACAGCGAAGTTTTCGTGTAGGAATACGCCAGCGACAAGTTTGATATTGGGCTTTCGTTTGATATCCTGAGGCACATGCGTGAGAACTCACAGAGGCCAAATGCCGATTCAGCACATCTGTTTATAAAGTTTGGAACCGACTTTCTTTCTTTTCCTTCTAACGTGTGGTTCCGTCTCAGGCAAGGGATGAAAACCAAAAGGGCAGTGGTATTTCTCGACGTCGCAAGGGAGTTCCATCTCAACGACGTTCAACTCTATCCTGCTACCTACGATATATGCCTCGTCTGTGCTGCAAATGCAGGTAAAATAGCTGCATTTCTAATTGTCAGAAACAAATTTTCGTCTGCAGGAAGAGCGAAAGATGTCATGGAAATTCAAAAGTATCGAGAACAATACAAGATACCTCCTTCTCCATCGAGTACCTTCTCTTTAGCAAAAGTAAGCGCCTTGTTTCGTCCTTCTGTGTGCCAACACTGTCAGCTCCGCAGGCACTTCTTCTCAAGGCAAAACCAGAAGACGCTGCGAAGCTTATACACGAAGAGTGCAAGGTAAACAATCTCAGTGCAAGTGTAAAAAAATCACCTGTTCGAAATACTTTTCTCAGGACGAGGAGGTTTTGGGAAAATATATCAAAAGCATGGTCAGACTGTGGCCAGTAAAGCTTGCTACATGCCACACGGGCTCCAGGAAAAGTGCAAAGGTACTCAAAAGTAGACATTCGTTTTTTTCGTGTACCAACAAGATAACTTCTGGACAGAGCTCCATGCGCTTCGTGAGGGACATGCTGGTAAAGATGCTGGGCTCCCTCTCCAGCTTAGGTGTCAAAGTGGACATCGACATCGAGCAAAACTTTGGAGCGGCCAAAGGATCAGGTGACAAGTACGAGTTTTGTTTTGGCGAAGCCAAAGCCGAAGCCGCATAGAGATATCCTTCCGGTAGATCGAGAGAGAAAAAGAGAGTGAGAACTTTTTTACTTGACTTTCTTCAGTTGGTCCTCTTCTCTTCCAGATTAGCTGTGAGCTATCTCAACGAGTGCTCTGTGGAGAGACTGAGGCTTCGAAAAGAATGGCGAATGGTCGCTGCCTTTCACTTTGAAAACGCGCTCCGGAGGATTCCCGGCCACAATGCGGTGTTGCAATTCGCTTGTCAAGGCATTGTCATCCGGGGTCTCCACGAAGAAGCGCCGTACCGTGCCGTACTTGTCTTGGGTGAGAACCAGCCTTTCAAGGACGGGAGCAAACGGTATAGGCCGCAAGGAAACCGATGCCAAAGCGACGTCCTACACACGCAGGCAATTAAGTAGAGCCAGATTTTCTTTTTGGTTCTAACATAAGAGGCTGGATGGAGAGGTACCTTTGCAGGACTGCGGTTGAAAAAGAGCTCTTTGACAGCGCTCCTGTCGAAAGCGAGCGCCGTGGGTGCGTTTGATTCCCCGTTTGCGTACGTGAAGATTTGTGCCTGGAGGAGTAGATCTGCCGGGCTCATGAGCTGCAGCAACAGACAAGAAGAGAGAAAAGGAAAGGCATCGTTCGTCGTTATAGTACTTCTCGGGAAATTCGGTGTAAGCAAAAGAAAATTTCTCTGTTCTAACCTTATGTGTAGTACCTCTACTGCAAAGACATCGAAGGCTCGCTGGGAGTTTGTCGGCATGGCAGCGGCAACGAAGATGGCTTTCGAGATCTTGCTGGGATACCACTCCATCGCGTGAGAGACGCATGCTCCTCCAAAGTCATGGCCGACCAAGATCACCTATGGCAGTTACACACGAACCAAGAAGAAGAAAAGCTTGAGAACGAACAAAGCAAGAGGAGTAAAGGAACCTTTTCTCCCTGTGGAAGACTGCCGAGGAAATCCGATAGAGGCTTGGCGTACTGCGAGAGACTGGTGACGCAATTTGGATCTGTGGATTCAATGCCGGAGGCTGTGAGATCGATGGCGGTGGCTGCGAATCCAGCCTCCTCCAGCAGCGCGATGGACTTGTACCAGCACCAGGCACCATAGCCGCCACCGTGGACGAGAACAAAGTGCGTGGTCTCAATGGACACGAGATCCGGACGCTGTAAAACAACACACCGAAAGACAAGAGGCTGGAAGTCAGGAAACCAAGGAAGATGAACTGTTTACCTCGAGAAATTGGTGTGGTGGGAGCTCCGGATCGGCCAGCGAGCGAGGCCTGGCGCTGGAGCTTCTGGCAAAGCCTCCCTTTCGGTGGAGAGCAGCAGCAGCGGCAGTATCGTTGTAGCGCTGGGACATTGCTCGCCCGACTTTCTGCTGCTGGTGGAAGAGGGCCAGCGCCAGGGCCTGCTGCTGCTGGAGCAATTCCTCCTCCAATCTGGCCCTGCTCTTGGCCTTTTTGCTGGAGGAGGATCTGGTCGATTTGATCTGGGAGTCCGTGACGCTCTTGTTGTTGGCCATACAAGTCAACTGGTTTCCCATCTCTCTCTCGCAGCCTCGATCGCGGCCACCACCACCACCTGTGACTGAGTGTGTCACTGACCTCTCAAGGATCTTCGTTTTTCCCTTCTCTCAAGCAAGCTCCAGTGAATAGTAACCATTCCGAGGAAATGGATCCACCTGGACGAAGAAAACAAGACCAACTCCATCGTAAGTACCGCCCACGAATGCAAAGAAAGCAATCAAAGAAAAAGATCAAGGAAAGAGCCATGAGCTTGCAAAGATTTAAACAATCTATAGTATAACTCCCATGGCGATAACAGGGACACTCCTAAACCGTGTATAACTCTCACCAACGTTTTTAACTCTAGCAATCACTCGCTCAGGGAAAGTCAACGTGCAAGCACTAAAAGAAAGAACCAAACGAGTTTTTTTTGTTCTTCCTGCCATTCCTACCTTTCACTCACTCACGAGCGAAATTTTGCTTTCTTCCTCGCGATCAACTTGCGTCGTCGCGTCGTGGCTCTCCAGCAAGGAGAAAGAATAGAGAAAAGGAAACTGTGCACAGACATGACTGGAAGGAGAAGCTTTAAAGATTTCTCGTACCTCAGGCTTAAATCCGGGGCCGCTGTCGTTGAAAATCCAAAGATCTGGAGCAAGGAACGCGTAGAAAGAAGCGGAATCGAATCGATCGTTCCATCGCCCTCTCGCGAAGAACACGAAAGGGCTTAACCCCGCATTAGGGCTTTTCAAAATAGATGCCAGGAGAATATACCCAATGTTACCGCCAAACGAATATACTACAGAATCTTTATTGTTCATTGTGTTAAAAATCATAGTAACTATAGAGGAGAGATAAAAAATGTACAAACTCTTAGCGCTTGAAGAATGCGTCATTGGCGAGAGACGAGAAATCAAAACTCGCGCCGGACGATGGAGTGACGAGCGGCTGCTGCTTGCTGCCGCTGCTCGATCTGGAGGAGCCGCCGCCATGGTGCTGGTGATTCGCACCGTTTGGATACGAGGAGGCAGACATCACTGGAGCCGAGAACGATTGCGAGCTGCGTGATCACAACGATGAGCCATGACGAAACTCGAAAACCAAAGTAGCAAAAGTACCTTGTTTGGTTCCCATATCCTTGGTATGCTGGTTGCTGTGGTGCCTGAACGATACAGAAAAAAAGGATCGATCGACTGAAAGTTTGTGAGAAAGATCACTGACTTACCGTGCCATTTTGCAGCAAGGCACCGTTTGGAGGTCCAGCGGGGAACTGGAGACCGCCCAAGAGATGGAGGTGTCCATTCTCAGCCTCTTTGCTCGCGCTGCTTGGTATGGTGGTATTGTTTGCTAGAGGCTGATGAGGTATGGGATATGGCGGCCGCGGCATTTGAGACGCGGCAAGCATCGACTGCTGCAGTGCCGCCACTTGCTGCTGGTGCAGAGTGAAAGGAGATGTCATGCGTGTCTGCATAGCGAAGAGGCGAAGTCAGAAACGAGGAAGAACTTGTAAAAGATGAACTATCTACCTTGTCGAAAAGGCTAAGGATGTCTTTCTTCACATCCTTTGGAGGCGCTTCTGGCTTTGCTGTGATTATCGGGGACGCTGCGAACAAATCTTCGAGCTCGGACGTGACAGACTTCACAGTAGATGTGTTCTTTTCTGTTTGATCAGGTGTGGCAGTAGCAGCTGTGGCATCCGGGGCTGTAGTGGAAGTATCGGCAGCTACAACAAAAACAAAACATCAATGCCGGCAGAAAAGAAAACGAAATTTTCTGCGAGTACCTTGAAAAGCCGCCCACAAGTTCTCGTCGGATCCCGATGGCGTTTCCGTCTCAGGAGTAGCGACTGTTAGAAGGCTGAAGAGGTCCGCCGCGTGATCAACTTTCGGAGGAGCTGGCTTCTCTGCTACTTGTGGAACGTGAGGCTTCTCAGGAGTCTTCACATTTTCCCTCGAGTTCGCATTCTGATGGCGTTGTGATCGGCAAAATGCAAAACAATGACAAAAAACTTACCGGTGTCTTCCCTGAAGAATCCGCTGAAGAACGCCGAGGCTCTTCAGGCACATCCGTGTTATCAGTAGCCACTCGCTTGCCTCTTGGCGGTGTCTTACTGCCATCAGCTTTTCTATGCGTCGTATCAGCTTTCAGCTGCCTCGCACGATCTTCGCTGGTTGCGTGCCTCTCCGGTGATTTAGACGGCTTAGTCCTTGGAATCCACCTCTTCGCATCGTATCTGTAATAGAAGAATGTCAGCACTGCATCAGATTTTATTCGGCGTCACATACTTTGCTCTGATGAAATTCTCGAGGCCAATTCGATCGTTTTCCGTCGGACGACGATAGTTGGGTGGCAGTTCCGCTTCCCAGTGGCTGTTGGCTCTCGCATTACCCGTTTCTACGCAAAGAAAGCTCAGCCACGAAAAACAAAAAATCAAACGAGAAAAGAACCAACCTTGCATTACTAAAACTTGCTCGGGGAGCCATGTATCCAGCGTCGCGGATCGTATCTATAGATAAAAAAAAGAAGAAGTAAACTTCGTTCTACGAAAGCCGCGATCAAAGAATGTGTGTACCTTTGATATGTGAACTCCGAGGCTCCGATGAATTCCAGAGCATTGTATGCACAAAAAAATTCCCAAATTGACGCTAGCCCATCTCGGACCCCTGGCATTCCAAGTTCCAGTCAGTAAAAACGAGAGAAGGAGAAGAACTTTAGATCTTGGACTTACTTGCTTCTACAATCAGCGCATTCCCTATTCTCTGGCAGCTTCAGCAGTCCCTCTAGGATCTAGCACACGAAACCAAGAGTGGAATCAATAACCTAGCTAGAAATTTCCGGAGAGACTTGGGCGAATTCTCCGCTGATTCAGCTGGATTTCCGGTACCTTCTTGTGCCGCTCGTTCTGCTCTTTCGTCACAGACGCCTTCTCATTCGAAAGCATCGCTCACCGCCGTCGGTCGGCGCTCGCAGTCGCATACGCCACGGGAGCTGGAGATGGACAGATCGAGAGATCGATCGAGAGAAATGCGTCAAGATCTACAGCTCCTAGGAGCTCCACGACGGCGACAGGCACGGGCGCCCTCGCGTGCCAAAAACCCTAACCACTGACTCTACAGTCCTGCTGCCATTGCCAAACGAAACAACGCAAACCGACACGTGGCATGATCGCCGAGAGTCTGCTTTGTCGGCCGTCAGATTTGATTTAATGGGCTTTTACATGGAATTAAGTTGTGAGAAATTTCATCCGGAATTTGGGGGTAGTGCTGTATTCCCTATAAGAAAAAACGTAAAGAAAAATCAAGAAAAGAGAGATATAAACGAATTATTATTATGATTAATCTTACCTGTAACGCACGTGTAGCAAGAATTTTCGTCAAAGCACGCATTAGAATGATCCGGGTCGCAAGATTGTCGACAATTGCATTTCCTCGGTGGATTAGCCGATGGAGCAATACCTTTTAAAAACAATAAAAAATAAAAAAACAAGAGAAAACAAAAACCAATCAGAAAAAATCCATCAAGGAAATCCAGAGAAATTGGAAGAGTCTCCGCAGATCTTCCACCACCTTGTGAACAATCAGAGCACGCCTCGACGTTGTAGCAGAGCCGATTTCCTGGATTGCAGGCTTTTTTGCAACTGCATTTGCTGGACGCGAGTTGATGCAAGAAGATGAATCCAGCGTCGCCGGCGGATGGAGCCAAGCTCCCACCAGGATTGTCTGCCAAGAAATTTTTGTGATCTCCGAGAACTGATCTTTGAGAACTGATCTTCGAGAAATGCGATCAAAGATGATATATACAACCTGTGGTTCCATTCACGTAGCACGCCCAGCAGATTGATCGATTGTAGCAAATATCATTGTTGGGATTGCACGATTTGCGACACGAGCATTGCCCGATATCTCGAGGTCCTTTGTCGGTGACGCTCGAAACTGGAGCACCTAGATGGGCTACACCAAAGAATCGAAAAAGAAAACAAGCTTCACGATCAATCGCTTGATCGACCGGGAGAAATTCTTAGGTGGAGTTACCGCGAGAATTTTCTACCTCGATGAGCGCCAGTTTGAGCGATCGAGAGGAGCGAGACGAGCAATAGCGTCGCAAGCTTGATCGCCATTGTCACGCCGATCGGACGGCCGCGCGGGGCTGGGAAGTGGGTGTATCGAACGGCTCACACCTCTCTTTAAATGCCTCGTCTCCTCTTCTCCGTGCAAGCAACGGGCGTATGGGGGCCGCCTCATTCTTTGTATGAAAGTTCGGTAATCATCGCTAAGTGCCGCGTATCAAGCCACGTGGCTACCACATTTGCACAAAGATTGACACGCGGCAACCACGTGGCCAGCTTAGGTGGCGCCACGCACGGAATACACAAAAGGCTTTATGTTACAGAGAGGAAAAACAAAACGAAGTTTTAGCTGTCGATGGAATGCTGCTGGTGTTCCTGGAGAGCGTTCAAGTCTCCATATGATTTTCGTCGCAATCTGGGCGATGAAGCTGTGATGTCTCTCGCTGGTTGTCTCTCGCCCTCGTCGCTCGGCAGCTCTTGGACGGATCCATCGTTTTGGCTGAGCATGAACTTCATCCCCGACATGTTTGGAGCGCTGAGCTTGCGGCAGATCGAGCAAACCATCTTGTCGTCACTGCTGTGAGTGTTGCTGGCGGAGCCATTTGCGAGAGATGATGGTGCTGGAGCTACTTGCAGCTTCGCGATGGCTTTGGCTTTCTTCCTGTCTGCTTGCCTGGGCATCACCTCGAAGAGAAAGTTCCCTCCGTTCCAGATCGCGGCTGCCACCTTGAGGAGCTCAAACGCGCAGTGGAGCCGATATGACTTGAACATCAGGACTGTGAGAGCCATGGTTGCCACCGTCAGGAGCGCCTGGAGCACCGCGTACATGACAAACCGGTTTTGAGCTCCCAGAATTCCACTCAGTCGCCACCAGATGTTATTCGCTCTCGAGGCTTTACGAGACAACTCCCTGATACAAGAGCATGTTAAGTTCGAAAAAAATAGTAAAAAGAAACACCAAATGAAAAGAAAGTTCCGCTAACCGGTAAGAAGTCATGATCTCGGGATCATTCAACAGCCTCTGTCGCCTTAGCACGTTCACAATGAGAAAGTAAAGGATCTGCCACACCGTGTATGCAGCCAAAGGAACAGCAAAAAGCCAGGTCCACAGATCTGTTCGAGTTTGGACCAAGGGCCAAGCGGGCCATGGTCCAGTGAGCTCGGTTGAATGAAGCGAGAATGTACTCGGGTCCCACCAACGAACGATAAAAAATACCAGACCTGGGAGCAATCGAAGTGAGCATAAATGCGAAAAAGCACAATCAATCACTCACCAGGAAGCAAATGGATCAACACGCTGATAATTTTGTCGATCGAGCTGAACACAAGGCTGCATCTCCATATAATCAACGCCCAGGCAAGAGGTCCCTGCAAAAACAATAACAATGCGTGTGTCTCCAAAAGAAGATACCAATCTGGAAAGGCATACCTCAGCAAAGGCAAAGCAGACCATAAACAGCCTCTCGTTTTTCGGAAAATAGAGCAGCATTGCCATAAAGATGGCGTTTGCGTAGTAACAGAAGTCCTGCAGAGAAGAATCGTCAAGAACAGAAAGACAAATAGAAAAGAACGCACAAATAGATAATAGTGCCACTTCCTTATTCTATAGTATATCCACCGGAGAGGCGCCACGGTTATGAAGAATGTGCAGTATAAATACGGGATATCTTGAGGCCCTGGAGAAAATGATAAGAAAGATCAAAGCTTTCATCGTACGCAAAAGAAATTAAAAGAAAAAAGAAAGAAAAAAACCAATGAAGGAACTTACTTGAACCAAGCAAGTAGCAAAATGTGCCAAAGCAAAAGACTCCAAGACAATACTTCACCTGGAAAGGAATGCGAATGAAATTGAGAAGAAAATCCCATAAAACCTCTCCTCTTTCTCACCTTGTTGATAAATTTCTCATGCTTGTCCGCGCGAGTCGCAAGCTTCCCGGCGTGCTTGGAGAGAATCTTCTTGGTCTGCACAACAACCTGGAAGCCCGGGCCGCCGGATCGATCAGAATGCCACCGCGAGGCGCTCCATTTTAGGTCAGAGGGAGAGAAGCAACGCACCTTGGGGGGGGATTTGCCGTTGGACTGGAGCACCAGGCCGCCGCCGCCCGCCTCAAACGCATCGGCGCTCACAGCGCCGTCCTTCACCGCCATGGATCGATCGATCCAATCCAGCTCCCGCGATCGAAAGCCCTACGCACGACGCGACCGCGAAAGAGAGGGAAAATCAGACCACAGGGATCTTATAATTTGCTTACAGCTCCGAGCCTGAATCCACTGCTTCCACGTGTCCAGTTTGTCGTGGCCGTTGGATCTCCGACTCGGGGATATGCGAATATAAATATGCGAATTTTAAACTTCAAAATTTAGGGCTTTTCGCGAATCACGCTTCTTTAAAAACGATGGACTTGAGGAAGATGGCCCTAGTTCATTAGAAAAAAAAGATGATTTCATAGTCCATGAATAGCTCACAATTGGTTTCATACATTGTGAATGCAATAAACATGACAGTTGATGATATTCATTATAGTTTCATTTTGATATTAGCAATTGCCCAACAAATGTTGGGTGGTTGGCAAATTTCATGCCATTTCAAGAGGTTTGCTGATGTTTGCTGTTTGATCAACTCCACAATTGAAAGACATTATCTTGACCGAACATGAATGTCTTAACTATAACTTAGTGTGTGTAGGTGCTGGACATTTCAGAAAAACTAAGCTGTGGTGGCTGTGGTTATTGCTTAGCTCCTGCATCATGCCCCACAAGTTAGTTGTAATCATAAAATAGTAATGCACTTACTATACTTAGTTGTTGTCTAAACTCTTCAAATCCAGATTTCCTATGCTAGAAATTACAAACTCTGCCCATAAGCATTGCATAAGCTAGATTAGATCAGTGTTGAGTTGCAATCCTCCATTCTGAATGCAAAAAGAATGCTTCCAAGTCCATCTTTGGCCCAGGTGTTGCAAGTTGCTCCATAGGTTCCTCTTGGGATGAGCCAAAAACCATTATATGGCAATGAGAGCTGCACTTTGGGAAGCAATTGGATGAGAACTGTACCTCTACCATTAGCACCTTCATAACACGTTGCTATAGCCAAAATGGCACACCACCCACACACCATATTTCTTGTGGTGTGCACTTGAAACTCGCAACTGCAAGTTAAGGGTGGCTAAGCAAATAGCATTGTGGAATCATGGTTGGATTTAGAATTATGCCATGTAATTATCAGTCCACTTAAGAATTTCAGCATAGACTGTATTCATAGTGTAAAAGTGTTGATTATGTGGTATAAAATTGCCTTGAACAAGGGTTGCAAGCACTTGAACACAAAGTTGTTCAAGTGATCTACACCTTGAGAGGGCAACATAAAGTTGACCATGTGTGAAAACAGGTTAGGGGAGGTAAATGCCAACATAGTTGAAAGTTTGGCCTTGGGCTTTAGAAATTGTTAAGCATTAACCAAATTAAGAATTGTCTTTAGGATATCTTAAAAGGGATTTCAACATCATAAGGTTTAAGAGTAATACGTGGAATAAAAACTCACGATCCCTTGAATTGTCCTGTGATAATTTCACAATCTAAAACATTTCGAGATGTTTGCCTAAGAATGAGGTGAGTGCCATTGCATAAACCAATTTGTGGAAATATGTTCCTAAAAAGAATCAAAATTAGTTTATGTGGTGGTTGTCTCAATAGGGTGATTGAATTTAAGAATTCAATTGGGAACTCTTCAAGGTCATCTGAGTCAACCATATCAATGCTTAAGTGAACATATGGATCACCTGGTAGTCTTCCAACAATGTCATTATTTATTCTAAATATGTTATCTTTGAGTGGGGTGAGAATGAACTTTGATACAGCTATGTAAGTATTTATAATGTCATCAGTATTTGGGAAAACAAAGTTTACAATAGGGGTGGTGATAGATTTTTTCTGAATAGCTTTTTAAACTTGGCAATGGTGATAGTAATTTGTAGTTTCTATGTCTCCCACCAGATATTATCAAAATACCATATGCACTGAAAGATTCCTTGAACATATATTCTTTGTTAGTGTTAGTGTTGTAAAGAATGATATAGTTTATTCATTTTAACTGAGCTTGAAATAATAGAAGTTTTATGGCCATGTGTAAGCCATAAATTTTATCCTTCCAATTTGCTAATTTACTTCGTTTATTTAACCAACACTGCCTTGGCTTTAGCTAAGTTCTCATCAAGGTTCTCGCCTATTGTACCAGCTCCTACTTGGTCCTATTTGGTTTCAACTACTCACTGCACAAGCAACAGAACGTTAGCCATCCATCCACGGATTCCCAAATCTTTCCCAATCCCTCTCCCCGGGTTAGACTGGACTTAAGGTTCAGCTACACTTCCCGTAGGCACAAGTAGCCAAACACACCAAGCCTTTAAGTTCCTAACATCCCTTGGTACAATAAGACTTGATCATGGGACCCTCTAAATCCCAAGCCTTGGGTGCAACACTTGCTTCGGGATGCCGGGGTGAAACATTGTGGCCTAATGGCCCGGTATGGGTACCTCTACCCCCCCACTCCCATCTCGAAAGGAAGGTCCACGCCTCTAGGAAGGGTGAGAACTAATGAGTCACAAGTAGTCAAGTGGGGCACCACTTCACATGAGCTGGGAGCACCGCAGTTAGTTTCCCTTCCAAGAGTGGGAGCTACTCTTGAGCACTTCTTTGGGTGGCCTTTCCAACACCACCCAAGTCCATGCAACCCCCCCCCGGGGACGATCACTTTGGGCTTTCACCCAATAGCTTGTATTAGTATTCGGACTCGGACTTGAACTTGAACTCAACTCGGACTCGGTCTCGGTCCCGATTTTGAACTCAGACTCGGTCTCGGTCTCAATTCCATCTCGGACTCCATCTTGGGTCCATCTCAGACTCCATCTCGGGTCCATCTCGGGTCTATCTTGGACTCCATCTCGGGTCCATCTCGGACTCCATCTTGGGTCCTTTTGTGTCTCTTTTCTAGAGACTCACTTATCACTCATTTTGTGCTTGTTCCTCGAGCACTTCGTTGGGAATTCTATTCCCACTTTCAACCTTTCAAGTCGGAGCTTTTGGTCCAAACATGTTATGCTCATTTGGCTTTCGCTTCGGCCACTACCACATGGCACCCTTCTAGCTCCACTTTGGGGCCTAGGGATTTTATGTCTCACAACTCCACCACCCATAGACGAAGTTCGATGTCCTCATCAAATGATAAACTATTTTATAAAGTAATACCAACATGTATTACCCTTTCCAATCTTGGCACCTCGCCAATATTTGTCAATAGTAGTGCATGCATCATTTCTTTCCTCGTAAGCCAACTGGAAAACGGGCAATTGCTTGATAAGAGAGCCCTTAGTGGCTATTTTATCCCTATTTATCCCTCAAGGTTTCCAAGGATCCACGGTGACAATATATCTAAATTTCATCCCATGATCACATGCGCTACATCAATGGTTTGATACCGAAGGCTCACCATGCCTTGCACATCCTCTAAGGAGGATAGTCTCTCCAACTTAGAAACTGATTGGACCACTTGTGGTGATTCTCTCTTTTCATTGGTTTAGTTTTCGCTAAACCTATTAGAGACACTATCTCTATCTTAATTCCACTACTACTTCTTCAGTAGTCTCAGTTTCCATTGATATAACCTTTGCACTTTGGAACTTTTACTTTTGACTTCTTGAAGTCAACTTTTTAGGTGTCTTTAACACGTTGCATTGCACATATTGTACAATTCCACTTCCCCATCCTAAAAAGTTCTCTATTTGAGGGCATCATCATCCTCTCTTTTATTTCATGCCACCTTGGGCATTAAGTTCCAATTATCATAATTTGTGCTAGGGCTATCCATGGCCCTATTATTTAGCTACCTTACCACTCCTTACTTTGGAGCTTTCGCTTTTGCCAAATCAGAGCAATTGGGAATCCATCCTTGGAGACACATTGCCTTTTCCACAATTCGTTAGCACTCAACACATCAGTGTTCTTGGCTTAACTTTGTCTTTTTGGATTCTTTCCCATGATTCGCATGGCTCTTTTTTTAGCCACTAGTCTTTTGCTCCTATCTTTGATTGTTGCACCTAGCAACATCAGATCGCTACCTTTGTTCTCGAGGTATCATTTCAGTTCCATAGCAAAGACTTTTCTTTGCCAAGTCCAGAGGGTGTTCACCCCTAGTACGTCTCTTTAGCATTTTTTACTGTGGGCTCTATCCCTGGCCCAACTTTGGGACCCTCCCATGGGTCTCTTATAGAGACTACTTTCTTCGGACATCCTATGCTATTGTATTGTCACAGATCATTTCCCTTAAAGCTCTATTTCGTTAAAGTGGGATTTATTCAGTAAAATGGGACTAGGTACAAATTTTCAAGTATTTGAAAATGATGTGAAATTATATGTTTTTTGTCCAGGGGCTAGACATATCTGGGGCATGGTGACTAGCGCGGTGACTTTGTGTCCAGACTGAGTCCATCTGGTTGTATAATAAATCTCATTGTCAAGGTGAACAAGCCGAATCTGAAGCTAAAGAAGAGCGATGGCATGCGCGCACACACTATTTGTTTGTTCATTGAGCGTGTGGCATGGGGCCCCACGCGATACTGTAAGCCTTTGCTCCTCCTCCAGCTGAACCCTGTATGGGGTTCGATCGACAAGGGCCTTATGCAAGGGTTGGCCGTTCAGCTCAGTCTGTGTACTTTGCAGAGACCTTAAGTGTTTTGCTAGGGACGCAATCATCATGTTTGCACCCCCGCCACCCCATAGAGGTACAAAGAAGTTCCCATAGTTCTGGGCACCATGCCCATGAGCGATTATGCCAAACAGAGACACAGGCAGCTGCATGGATGAAGAGATTGCCTTGGGGGCAGGATTGAGTCGAGGTAAGCACGTCTTTTTCTGGTCCATTTTGTCGTGGATGATGCAGAGGTAAGAGTCAGGTCTCTCCATGGAGAGAATCCTGTTATGATAATATGCAGTCCTGCAGCTTCTCTGCTCGATGTTGTGGTCGAGCCGCCTTCTAACCAATGTCTCTCGCTCTTGAGCGATGCAAGAATTCTTCGACAAAGCCATTTTGATAGCAGTGCACTCGTCACACTTTGAAAAGCTGGAGTACTTTCCTATACTCACATCCCTGAACCTGTTGCTCCACAATCTACTAAATCTAGATTGACTCAGCTTCCTGTAGCCATTACTCTGGAGTTCCCGAT